TGAACCATACTTGCATCCCTGGGATAAATCCCACTTGATCATGATGTATGATCCTTTAAACGTATTGTTGAATTTGGTTTGCTAATATTTGTTGAGAATTTTTGCATCTATGTTTATCAGTGATACTGGCCTGTAATTTTCTCTTTTTTTGCAGTATCTTTGTCTGGTTTTGTATCAGGATGATGCTGGCCTCAGAGAATGAGTTCAGAATCATTCCTTCTTCTTCAATCTATTTTGGAATAGTTTGAAGATAGGCATTAACTCTTTAAACGTTTAGTAGATTTCACCTATGAAGGCTTCTGGTCCTAGACTTTTGTTTATTGGAAGTTTTTTTGCTTGTTTTGTTTTTTAATTACTGATTCAATTTCATTACTGGTAATTGGTCTGTACATATTTTATGTTTTTTCCTAATTCAGTCTTGGGAGATTATACATTTCTAGGACTTTATCCATTTTTTCTAAGTTGTTCATTTTATTGGTATATACTTGCTTGTTGTAATCTCTTATGATCCTTTGTAACTTCTCCTTGTTCATTTCTGATTTTATTTATTTAGGCCCTCTCTCTTTTTTTTCCTGATGAGTCTGGCTAAAGGTTTATCAATTTTGTATATCTTTTCAAAGAACCAGCTCCTAGTTTCACTGATCTTTTTGTTTTTGTTTTGTTTTGTTTTAGTCTCTATTTCATTTATTTCTGCTCTGATCTTTATTATTTCTTTCTTTTTTGGGTATTTTAAAACATTATTGACCTACACAGAAGAATTCCAAATAATTTATATAGATACTTTGCCTCCAAGGAGGTGGAGCGTAACTTCCTATTCTTTAAGTGTGGGCTGCTCATGGTGACTTCCCAACAAAGAGTAGATTATAGAAAAGGGGGAGAAAAGAGTTATTTTACAGTGGAGAAACCTGAAAAACACTACCTCAGCTAGTTTCCATTAGCAGTAGTAAGCCATGTTGATAGCATGTACCCTTGATGTGGTATGATGAGAATGGCAGTTCACCTCTGGTCTTTCTCCCAAAACCTATAACCCCAGTCTAACCATGAGAAAAACATGAGGCATATCCAAACTGAGGGACATTCTACAAAGTACCTGACCAGTACTCCTCAAAACTGTCAAGGTTATCAAAAACAAGAAAAGTTTGAGAAACTGTCATAGCCGAGGGAAACTTAAGGAGACATGATGACTAAATGTAGTGTAACTTGGATGGGATCCTGGAACATAAAAAGCACATTAGGTAAAAACTAAGGAAATATGAATAACATATAGACTATGGTTAATAATAATGTTATCCATATTGATCCACTAATTGTCACAAGTGTGACTTTACTAATGTAAGATGTTAATAACCTAGGAAATTGAGTGTGTGGTATATTGAATCTGTACTATCTTCATAAGTTTTCTGTACATCTGTTCTAAAGTTAGTTTTATTAAAAACATTAAAAAAATTGTAGATACTACTAGAGCCCTCTATATGCCTCTCAGATTTCATTCTCCTTGTCCTTTGAAGTAACCTCTGGCCTGCATTAGGTGTTTATCAATCTCATGCATAATTTTACATTTTTACTACATACGTATTTTAAATTTATAGTATTTTTTATCTTATAATATTTCATATAAATAGTATCATACTTTATATATTTGTGTGCAGTTGTCTTTTTTGTTATTGTTGTTCGGCATTATGTGTTTGTGCTTTTCCATGTTGATAGATATAATTCTAATTCATTTACTGTGTGTTAGTCCATGGTTTGAATGTCACTAACCATTTTTGTTTTTGTTGTTCCAGACATTGGAGTTGATTCTAATTTGTTACTATTACCAACATTGTTGCAATAACCATTCCTGCATAGAACTCCTAGTGCATAGGTATAAGAGTTCCTCTAAGTTTTTTCCATTGCAGAAGAGTTGCTGAGTTCTAGAATATGTACATCTTAAATTTTGACAGATAATGCAAAATTGCTCTTCAAAAATGTTCTGTTCCCACAACAGTATATGAGAATTGTTGGTGAGGAAGTAAAGAAACAGTTTTTAATATTGTGGGGCATTTTACTTTTTGCCAGTTTAATGGAAGGAAAATGGTATTAGTTTACATTTTCTTTATTATTAGTTATGTTGAGCATATTTTTATTGATTGATTTATTATTAAATTTCCCTTTCTATGAATAATTTGCTCATATTTTTGGTCAAATTTTTAGCTGTTAGGTTTTTTTGATTTCAAGGAGTTCTTTATATATTCTGCATACTACTCTTCTGTCAGTTATATACTTTACAAAATCTCAGTATTTCATTTGAATTTGTAACTTTAAAAAATGGTATCTTTTTTGTAAGAAGTTATTTTTTGCTTTTTAAAAAAATTGAGTATAATTTATATGATAGTACTTAAGTATTCAGTTTGAGTTTTTGAGAAATGTATATACCTGTGTAATCCACATTTATATCATCATCTTATCATCCTATCATCACCACAGAAAGTTCCCTCATTCCTCTTCCCAGTCAGCCCCACCTCTGCCTTAGGTACCACTTTTCTGGTTTCTGTTATCATAGATTAGTTTTGCTTGTTCTAGAACATAACATAAATTGAATCACACAGTATATACTCGATGTATCTAACTTTTAAAATTCAGCATAATATCTAAAATTTATGCACGTTTTTGTATCTATCACTAGTTTTTGGGTTTTTTTTTTAATATACTTTATTTTAAGAACGGTTTTTGGTTTACAGAAGAATTGAATGGAAAGTGCAGAGAGTTAACATATACTCCCTTGCTCTCTGCTCCCAAGCAATTTCCCCTATTATGAACATCTTGCATTAGTGTGGTACATTTGTTACAGTTGAGGAGCCTGTGTTGATTACATTATTAACTAAAATCCACGGTTTATGTTAGAATTCACTCTTTGTCTTGTACATTCTGTTTGTATATTCTTTCTACACAAATGTTTAGTTATGTGTGTCCACCATTTAGTATCAGATTTTGTACACTATACAGAATTGTTTCACTGCCTGAAAAATCCCTTGTGTTCCACCTATTCATCTCTCCCTTCCTCCCTCTGAACTCCTGGCAACCACTGATCTTTTTACTGTCTCCATAGTTTTGACTTTTCCAGAATGTCATATAGTTGGAATTGCCATGATCAAACACTCACACAGCCCATATTCTAGGGAATAGGACATAGACCCTTAACTCTTTGTGGGAGAAGGGTCAAAGAATTTTGGAGCCAAGTTTTAAAATAACATATTCTATATTATATCTACATATTATAAATGGGGAAATTGAGGTACAACAAGACTAAATGACTTTCCCAAGATCAAGTGAGTACAGTACTAGTTTTTTTTGGGGGGGATTCCAGATTTCATGCTCATCCAACTATTCACTCATTCATTATATATTTGCTGATCACCTACTATATGCCAGTCACTGTGCGAGGCTCCAGGGGTTAAATATTAAACAAGAGAGGCAAGGTCTCTGCCCTCTTAAAGAACTTATATTTAGAGCAAGAAATAGGCCTGATGTAGGTTTCTTTTTTTAATTAAGATTTTTATTTAGAGATAATTGTAGATTCACATGCAGCTATAAGAAATAATACAAAGAGATACCATTGTATTTTTTATTGATTCCCCCTAACGATAACGTACTGCAAAACTGTAGTATAATATCACAACCACTATATTAACATTGGTACAGTCAAGATACAGAGCTTTCCATCACCACTAAGATCCCTCATGTTGCAGTTTTATAGCCACATCTACTTTCCTCCCACCCACCCTTGCTCCTTCCTTTTTTTTTCCCCTTTAAACAACTGATAATCAATTTATTAAAATAGTTGATTTAAGCATCTGCAGTAGTGATTCAGCCTCGACTCCCGGCTAAATACTGATGGAAGTAATCTGCTTAACAATCTCAGAAAGACTGTTCAAGTCAATGAGTTTCTTGTATATCCTCATCTGAAAAAGAGACCAAATGTTTCAGCAGGAGTTTTTCTTGTAGTGATTCTCAGACATATATAGATGTGTTGTTTTGGTAGTTCAGAAATCAAAATGTGAATGGTATTGCCACTGGTAATGAGATTTTCCAAAATGCTCAACAACTTATTTGTAAAGTTCTGACCAAACTAAAATATTGATACAAGCTGTATTAGTTGCATTCCTGGAAAATTTAGAGCTTATTAAAACTGTGCCAAAAAATAATTTTTTATGTAAAAAGAAAAAGATTAATTTCTAGGCCCAGGTAATTATAAACAGTTTCCACATAATGTTAGATGGGACATTGCCAAGTCATGTAGGACATGTGTCAGTTTGTTTTGTAGGATGTTCTTGAGCAGGGGTTGGCAAGCTACATCCTGCAGGACACACTATTTTTGTATAGCCCATTAGCTAAGAATGGTTTTTACATTTTTAAAGAGTTGAGCAAGTAAAAAGAAGAATATGTTACAGAGACGGTAACACCTTTTTTGGATGAATTGACCCCAGTTCAAGATATTATTGACTGGAACCCAACCAAAATAACTTCTGTCACAAGTGAAGTTAAATCAGAATAGATTTCTTTTTTTTTTTTTTTTGCGGTACGTGGGCCCCTCACTGTTATGGCCTCTCCCGTTGCGGAGCACAGGCTCCGGACGCGCAGGCTCAGCGGCCATGGCTCACGGGCCTAGCTGCTCCACGGCATGTGGGTTCTTCCCGGACCAGGGCATGAACCCGTGTCCCCTGCATTGGCAGGCGGACTCTCAACCACTGTGCCACCAGGGAGGCCCCAGAATAGATTTCTTAATATGCTTTGAGGAAAAGAATGATACACATCACCTGTGTTGTGATGTGATAGTGTGAAGCAAAGTGCCGGTAGAAATAATTTTATTTAATTATAATATATTATACAAATTAATGTTTCTGTTGAGTGGCATAGCCAGAGATTTTGGGTCCTCCTACCCAAAACTTGGTAAATAGGCAGATATTTAGTAAACATTTGTTGAATTGTAATGTGATGTAATGTGAAATATCTTTAATCTATGTTGTTTAATCTATGTTGTAATATTTATCGTACAACTTTTTCATATTAATGGAGGAATGAAAGACAGCATGTTTGTCTTTCAGCCTCCCTTCCACCTATTCTACCTATACTCCACCTGTACACTGTCTACCTTTACATTCCTCTGTTCTCACTGCTACTGCTCAAGTGTAGGCAGGACTCTTGGTTCCAAATGATAGGAATACAGCTTAAACTATCCTGAATAGTAAACGGGAGTTTTTGGTGCCTACAGGTGGAAAAGATGTCGAGATAACATACAGAGTTGAAGAAAGGTCTGCAGGAACCAAGGCCTTGGGGATTACAGAACAGGGTATCACTCCATTAGAACCCACTCTCATCTCTGCTTGGCTTCATTCTATTTTATTGCAATCAGGCTTTTGCCAAAAGATCAAAGATGTCTGTCTGCAGCCCTCCAGTCTCATGTTCTTCTGGTACCATGACCTCAGGAGACAAGACCACTTCTCCTCCTAAATTGGGAGATTAATTTGGATCAATCATTGTGCCCAGAGAAAGGAGGTACTATGATAGTTTGGTTTGGAGCTCATATCAATCCTCATGTCCAGGCAGGGGAAAGCTTGTTCGGAGACCAAATCATTAACCATCACTGACCTATTCAGGGCTCCATTGCCCCAGCCCTTTGATGATTTCCCGCTTCAGTTTAGCTGCTTACTGTTCTCAGAACAGCAATGGCAATTAAGGTTTGAAAATTTATGGAAAAGAATAAAGTAGTATACAGTTTCAGAGTAGTATTATTGGATATTGTAGTATTATTGGCTGTTTGGTTGAAGATGGGCTGTAAAACTAAACCAATTCATTCACTTAACAAAATTTACTTAGTACTTCGTATGGACAAGGCATTACCCAGTTATAGTATATCAAACCAAGCCTGGCTATAAGGCACTGTGAAATTATGTAAGATTTCATCAGAGCACTAATTCATTTTATTCTCTTGTTTTATTATTTTTACATTTTAACTTTATTTATATTTTATTATTTCCTCATCATGGAACTGGATATTTATAGATTCTAGTTATTGATAGAGAATTTGAGTGACACGGATTTTTTTTTTTTTTTGGCCACGTCACGGGGCTTGTGGGATCTTAGTTCCCCTACTGTGGATTGAACCTGGGCCCTAGGCAGTGAGAGCATGGAGTCCTGTCCACTGGATCGCCAGGGAATTTCCAACATGGAATTTTTCACAATAGCTTTTCTGATATTCAGTATTTTCAAAGGGAATATTTTTGTATTTATGAAGCGCTTATTCTCATTACTGTCTTTTGATGACCCTTTTTGAAAGCTTATTCAGTGATTAAGAATCACTCAAAATGTGATCTGTAGTTAAGATGCATCTTTTTCTAGTTATCTACCAAATTCATATCTGTTATTTTTTCTGTCATTATAGTCTATTGCATCTGCAGACATGGATTTCAACCAGCTGGAAGCATTCTTGACTGCTCAAACCAAAAAGCAAGGCGGGATCACATCTGACCAAGCTGCTGTCATTTCCAAATTCTGGAAGAGCCATAAGACAAAAATCCGAGAGAGCCTCATGAACCAGAGCCGCTGGGACAGTGGGCTTCGGGGCTTGAGCTGGAGAGTTGATGGCAAATCGCAGTCAAGACACTCAGCTCAAATGCATACTCCTGTTGCCATAATGGAGCTGGAAATAGGGAAAAGTGGACAGGTGAGTTCAATTTCAATTTCCCTTTGTAAACTGTATTTTTCCATTACGTATTAGCCATACATTCAGAATGATTTTATGTAACAGTCTTTGTTTGCAGAGATAATGATAACACGAAAAGATTCTGGTTTTCAGAATCCCTTTTCAAAGATAGAATCATCTGAAAGTTTGGATATTCCCAACTGTGGATAGAGTCTGAAAACCAGCCTCCGGCAGCTATCTCAAAAGAACAAAGTGGGTCAATAAGGTGATTGCACAGAAGTTGGCTACTGTTCCCTTTTGGTTAGATCTGAGTTCGTGGCGTTTGGTCAGAATCTCCAAGGCAATGATAAAGACGCTAAGTAAAGACAAGGAATTGAGATTAAACAACATAGAACAAACCTATCTCACAAAACTCATCTTTATAGGCATTCAGGTATAGGAGGCAATGTATTTTTTTAATATAAATTTATTTATTTATTTTTGGCTGCATTGGCTCTTCACTGCTGCGTGCGGGCTTTGTGGTGAGCGGGGGCTACTCTTCATTGCGGTGTGCGGGCTTCTCATTGCCGTGGCTTCTCTTGTTGCGGAGCACGGGCTCTAGGCATGCGGGCTTCAGTAGTTGTGGCTCGCAGGCTCAGTGGCTGTGCGGCATGTGGGATCTTCCTGGGCCAGGGCTCGAACCTGTGTCCCATGCACTGGCAGGTGGACTCTTAACCACTGCACCAACAGGGAAGTCCCAGCATTGTATTTTAATTACAACATTGTGTTGTTCCTAAAGACCCTAAAGTATACTATTTCTGTCCTTGAGCCTACAAATTGTTTTTAATTGATCTTGATTATTTACAAAACAGTACTGCTTTCCTTGCAGTTTCCAATATCATTATAGCGGACATCTACATGGTTTTTCTTTGAAGTCTTCAGTTTGTACTCCAGATGACTGCCAGATCAGACTTTTAATGACCTGGTATATGTCTTTTGGGGAAAAAAAAGCAGCAACTTGTAATTAGGAAGAGAAAACCCAGATCACTGAATTAACTAACCAGATTTATTTTCAGATAAATAATCAAATAAGTGATTCTATTACATCCTATAATAGAAATTTATATCTTTTCTTCTAATAATGAGTGCATTTTTTTAGCTGGCAGGTTTCCTCACATAATCCCTTCTTGAGTTGCTTAGGGTTTTTCCAGTATTTGTAGTTCCCTAATGACTTTAATTTTAATTTAAAAGATAATTCCTTTTAAAAAATTGTTCTTTTTCAAAATATATTTTGAGGACCTTTTATTCAGTTATTTTACAGTAGTGCTAATAGCCTTTACTGACTTTGGTTTCTCTGATCCTAAAGTCCATTTTCTTAACCACTGTGTTATACAGCCTTCCTCCTATTATTCCTAGACCAAAAATCTGACAGAAGGTGCAGAAAGTATTCTTGGATATGTAAGTTTCACCAGCCATTTTTATAGGCTGTTCATTTTTTATTCTGGCAGTAGTGATTTTGTCAAGTATTTATCATTTGGGCAGGAATATGAAAACATACATATCTACTTTGACTTTCCTAGAAAACTATTATAGTATTTCTTTAACTCAATATTTTCCTAATATTTCTTGGACTGGGGTTTATAATGTGCCTTTTGATTTTAGTAACTTATATACCATCTGAATATATTGGATACTGACACAGGAATTTTAAAAATCTATTTTTTTACGGTATGCGGGCCTCTCACTGCCGTGGCCTCTCCCGTTGTGGAGCACAGGCCCCGGAAGCGCAGGCCCAGCGGCCACGGCCCACAGGCCCAGCCGCCCCGCGGCACGCGGAACCCTCCTGGACCAGGGCACGAACCCGCATCCCCCGCATCGGCAGGCGGACCCCCAACCACTGCGCCACCAGAAAAGCCCTTAAATATCTATTTTTAAGTTCCTATGGTTTTTCTTTCATTTTTTTAGCTAAAGTAACAAGGAAAAACATTTTTTTTAGAACAGTAGAATGTGTTTTTGTCAATCAGTAAATCTAAACATCACTACACATGATTTTTTAGCTAGCTTCAGGAACATTTCATGATTACTTAGAACAAGTTGGTAAACTTTTTTTTGAGAGGACAGATATTTTATGCTTGACAGCTCTACAGTTTCTGTCACAAGTACTCATCATTCTTGGTGCAGCTCAAAAGCAGCCACAGACAGTACATAAACAGATGGGCACTCCTATCTTTCTAGAAGGTTTACCTATTTCAATAGAATCAATAGGTCTTAGAAGTCAGAGAGTCCTTAAGTACTCATCTAAGGTGAATTACATAGGTGAGGTGGTATATCCTCATTTTCCAGAGAAGGTGTATGTGACAGAGAAGTGACTTGCTTCAGACATAGCTGATAAGTGGTAAAGTGAGAACTAAAATGGGGATCGGGGCTTCCCTGGTGGCGCAGTGGTTGGGAATCTGCCTGCCAATGCAGGGGACACGGGTTTGAGCCCTGGCCCAGGAAGATACCACATGCCGCGGAGTAACTAAGCCCATGCGCCACAGCTACTGAGTCTGTGCTCTAGAGCCCGCGAGCCACAACTACTGAAGCCCGCATGCCTAGAGTCTGTGCTCTGCAACAAGAGAAGCCACCACAGTGAGAGGCCCATCAACCGCAACGAAGAGTAGCCCCCGCTCTCTGCAACTAGAGAAAGCCCGAGTGCAGCAACAAAGACCCAATGCAACCATAAATAAATAAACAAACAAACAAACAAATAAATAAATAATAAAATAAAATAAAATTAAAAAAAATAAAATGGGGATCACCAGACTTAGTTTTTCCAAAAACCATTGATACCAACATCTAGGAGCTTTTGTTAGCTTCTCACAATAGTCTATGCCAAGAAAACATGTTGGTTATAAAACATGTTGGTTATACAGTGTGGTAATCATGAGCGTTGATAGGAATATCACTCAGCAATAAGAAGGAAAGAACTTTTGATACACGCAACAAAATGGTTGAATCTCAAAATCATTTGCTGAGTGAAGTAAGCCAGGTAAAAACTTTTTTTAACATAATGTATGATTCTACTCATATAAAATCCTAGAAAATGCAACGTAATCTATAGTGACAGAAAGCAGATGCCTGGGCATAAGAGTAGAAGGAGGGATAGATTAGATTACAGAGGGGTGTGTGAAAATTTTTAAGTGTGAAAAAAATATTTATGTTCATTGTGGCAGCTGTTTTATGGATGTAAATATATGTATGTCAAAACTTATGAAATTGCATGCTTTAGATATGCAGTTTATTGTACATTACTTATACTTCAAAGTTGTGAAGAAAATGGTCACTGTGAAAATGATTGAAAATGCACTTTAACCCACAAAATCCTTTGAACGCAAATATATTCTTAAATCAAGAAAAGTTGTAAAGAAAGTAAACTGTAATAGAACCTAGGCTGGCAGTAAAATAAATATACAACCCAGATCCTACCGGAAATGTTTTTGTGAGGCCTGGATCCTTGGTTAGTACTGCTGTCAGCTTCTAGGTGAATGTTATTTATGAAATACTCTACTAAATCAACTTACCAGTTTTTAGAACACGTATAGGCAACAAAGGCAAAGTTATTTTTACACTGCTGTCATTGGATGAGCTTGTGAGGGAATTAATGATTCTAGGATATTAAGAGGTTGCTTCTAAGAAGAATGACCAAGGTTTTTGAACTCTGGGGTGTGTGTGTCCATGTACCCCAACAACTAAATTACTGTCTTCAATTTATGTCATTTTAAATCAGTGGTTCTCAATCATGGCTACACATAAGAATCACTTTTGGAGCTTTAAAAATTTTCATGCTCTGGACATACTTCAGACCAATTAAGTAAGAATCTGTGGGGATGGGACCTGGGCATCAGTATTCTTTAAAACTGGTGATTTAAAAAAAAAACAAGGGTGGGGGGACTTACCTGGTGTTCCAGTGGTTAAGACTCCATGCTTCTACTGCAGGGGACATGGGTTCGATCCCTGGTCGGGGAACTAAGATCCTACATACCACGCAGCGTGGCCAAAAAAAAAAGAACACAACAACTAAAAACTGGTGATTTCAGTATTCATCCAAGGTTGAGAACCACTATGTTAAAGGTGCCAACTACTCTGATTTGAAATGTTAATATAGCTTGGTATTAAATTTTTACAGTGAGAATTCAGTATATGTTGGCATATTACTTCTACTTGCCATAATTTGTGAAGTGCTTGGGGACTATTTATTCAGACACTAGATGTGGTACATTTTTTCTGTCTTTCCCTCTCTATTTAAATTTCTCTCTCCTGCTCAGTTTGTCTGCATTACTTCTTTCTTTGGTCCAAAAAGTGCATTTGACAATTGGCAGCCAAGTGCATGCATTAACTTTTTTTTCTTATTAACCACAATATATAATGCCTTTAGGATATGAGGAAGCCAAAGTAATAGAGAAGTAACTAAGGCAGTATATATTTATGGAAATATGTAAAGCTAGAGAAAATGACTATGCACTAGTGACCTAAATACCTTTCTTGTAGTGAATGTTTTTCTTGAACAGAAATACAATTTTTGCAAGAATAAAACATGAATTCTGTTATAAAAGTACACAGAAAACTCTGCGGTGAACATTTCATGTCCAAAGGGAAGAACATCAGTGTTTTACTCGTATAATTGAGATCCTTTCATATTTGATCATAAATCACTGAGGGACCTAATCCTTGAGGACTGTTGGAATCTGGCATGTGTCTTTAGGAAAGTTTTATTGTTCTGCTTACTTCATTAATACCACTGTTTTCCTTTCCTGGAACTTAAATAGAAATTTTCATAGAGTGTTTTCTTTTTTTAAACAGTAACTTTTGGGGAGATAATTTATATGCTTAGTAGAGTCTCATACATGGTTATTTCTCTTTTTTTGAGACTGGATTTTGGCATTTTATAAAGACATGTTGGTTTTTCTTTTGTGACTTCCTGTTTTTCAAAACCAGTAAGATGTTTTGTGAGGAAACATTTAGCCACAGCTTCTGTGCTAAACCATTTAGTAGTAAATTAT